AAACGCTTTAGGAAAAGTTTACCTGTGACACCCTGTTCAATAGCTGTCTGGCTTCAGTTATGGAACGCGCTCTATTTAACGAGGCCTCGCGAGTAAGTCCGCATGCAAGCGCCACTTCTAGTTTGCAAAGATCTTCGGCTAAGCTGCCAGCAGCTCGATAAAGGGTGTCGGCCTGTGCCAAAAGGGCTGCTCCGTCACCAAGATGAGTTGGCAGCTGTTCGGCTGACTGAAGCAAGCTGATGACTGCTGGGTTCTGACGGGCCTGAAGGCAGTTATAGAAAATGCTAAATAAGGATAAGTGGAAATAGAATCTTTTGGATGAATAAAAATAGGAAGCAAGGCATATAACACTGATTCCTGATGCAATGGTAATGGTTTATCAAAAAAAATTTTGCTAAGCAGAATGGTCCTTGACCGTAGCCAGAAAAGAATTAAAATATATATTCAGTACATATAGATCAATATTAATATAGCTTTTATTGTCTAATTTGTAAAATATCAGGTCCCTAGTAGTCTTTTGACATAGTAGTGTTAAGCTAACTTTAATTGCATGATGATGAATAGCTTCAAATGTCCATTCCAATGACGTCCCTTGAATGCAATTGAACTGTTATTTAAAGTTCATCGGAAGTTCATTCCGAAGTGGTCCTTGAGACACCATCCTTCAGTTCAGGTACAAATGCTTCGGTCAAATGACAGACCGAATTCACGGTAGCCGAAGAAAGACGCCTCGAAGACTGAGGTAGCATTAAGATTTAATAAAAATCCAACAAAAAATCAGGGGGAATCCGATGTCGTGTTGTGTCCAGATCGACTTAAAAATATCTGTATCACGCACTTTCACACAAAAGGAAAGTTATGAACTGAGTAAATCCCTCGAATAAAGCTAGATGTGCTGCAGCAAGTAAAAATATGGATAGTGTCATAAGTTGTGACTGGATAACATCCATTATTTTCATAAATATGGCATAATTCTCTTTTATGGTATGTCAAAAACATCGTGAAATGCCACTCCAACAAGTCTATTTTTAATAATATAATTAAAAAAAATTTTTTTTTCAAGAGGATAAAAGATGTATGAGAATTTCGTCTCAATTTAAAGTTAAATCTGCGGATGACTAGAAAGTAGATCAATAAGTAGACTACTGAGAAAAGGAAGGACACCCAAATATTCTATCAAATGAAACGAGAGAAAAGATTAGGAATAAAGAAAACAGGAAGAGGGACTATGAAAGTTGGTAATGCAGAAACTTAATTGAATAAATGGAAAAATGGGAGGTGTCTAAAAGTAAAATTAAGCAAAATGATTACATATGATCTATCGAGAAATCCTAAGAGTATTGATAAGTAAACCCTGTGAGTAAAAATAATTTTAAATTTATAATATAGTAAATAGACTCGGTGTTAGACCTGTAGGGAGCCCTCTTCGAGACGTTCCAGCAACCTATCCAAGCATTCATGTACTTTGATGCCAGAATTTGTCAACTCTTCCGCCATTTGGAAGCGACGCACCGAGAACTCTTGGTCTCCGCAATCTGCAAAATCATTTGCCAAGCAAGTCACAGACTCAGTAAGGCCATGGACAGCAATCCCTACCTACATGGGATTAAGAAAAAGAAAGATTGTAATTCGGGGCAGATAGATGGTTAATGTATAGCAAGAAAGGAAACAAGACGCAAGAGTGAATAGAATGTGTAAGGTATATAAAAGATTCACTTGAAGATAGCTATGACAAAATGAGCAATTACAATGAGATCTTTTGGATAGAAACGTAATAGAATAGAAACATTATATATCATTGTAAAGTTGTTTCTTGAATAAAAATTAACAAATTTTTTCCATTGACATTAGTAAGGTAAATTGAGAAAATGAATGCTCACCTGACTAGTTTCTCAGTGAAGATTTTCACTAAGCCCTAATCTAATAAATGTATGTATATAGGTAATTATACTCGAATAAATAGCAAGACAAATACAAAAACAAAATACTGCACATTGCTTTGAAAATCTAGAAATATGCTGAGGTGAAGAGACGCTTAATCAAAGCTCACTTGTCTAGCAGATTGCTTAAGTTGATGCATTGAGGCGGGCTGGTGCATAGTGCAGGCAACGACCTTGGCACATGTGACAAGATTGCTCGCAGCCATTCCAGCTACCGTGGCAGACCTAATTAGTCTAGCCTGTCCGGTGTGCAGAGCCTTACTAGCAACACGCCATTCAGCTACGTGTTGTTGAGGGATCGACTTGGAGCCAATATCCCCAGCATCGACAGCCGCTACAGCTGACATAAAACTAGCAGCTTCCTGGTCGAGGAGCATGGCGTTTGACTTGGCCAACTTAACAAGGGCGGCTGTTGCCGCGGCCACCTCCTGAAGAAAGGTCAAGCATTAAGGAGTGTGAGGAAACGGGAAAGGTAAAATGACGTGGATAAACTAAAGCGGATTAAACGTGCATATGTGTACATGCTTTAAGATATATGGGCAATTAAGGCTGGATAAATTAAAATTAAATAGTGCCAGAAAGAAATATGTGAAAATTTGGTAGAAGTGTCAGGTTTCGAGATAAAGGCATTGTTTAAAGTGTAATTAAAAATGAAATCAGCATAAAGAATAACGGGAAACAAT